TATTGGCTGCTCGATCAATGAATGCCAAATATTTCCTTCTAGGGAAACGGCTAACATTACCATTGCCATAACTATTAAATACGTAATTATTTTCCAAATATCATAATATTTGTGTGCGCACGGGTTAAAATATACGTAACTTGTGCGCAGTATGAAAGAATATGTATCAAAATGAACATGTAAATTATATCAGATAAGAAAATTGAACGTGTATAAAGCGGCAATGCCTAAACCATCTTTTTGTGTGTGGGTGTGTGAGATAATTAAAGGAAATATCGCGCACACGCGTTGGCACAACAGACACACACACACACACACAGAGACACACACACACACACAGATACACACACACACACAGAGGCACACCACTAGAAAAAAAATAAAAAACAAAAATAAAGGGCCATAAAAGGAAAAGCTATTTCAAGAATGCGCGGGTCAGGCGTCTGTGCATCCGGGTTGGTGAGGGTCGGTCCTACTAATGCTTTCCACTAATTTGCCTTTTATTTCTTTCCTATTGGTTTCGCTCTATAATTTTCTATGTTACACTACTCGGTTCCTCTTTCTGTTTGTTTACTAAGTAAACACACGGCCCCTTTAATTGTTTTTAATCGCGGGAACTCTCAGCGTTTTTGCGACGCAACATCACAACACATCCGGGCTCTCTGCGGATGCAGATCACCCAAGTCGATGACCACCAAATGGAAACGGGGGAGCTAATTGGACGTTTTCACAGCGTCAAGACTGTAATATCATGCAAACTAAAGCCTGGTCGTCATTTTGATTTAACAGAAAGAAGAGAACCTGCTGAGGATTTTTTCATTAAAATCTTTCTATTTTTATTTCCTTTTTTACATCAGGTTTATGATTTTTTTTTCTTGCTTTTCTTGTTTTTCCATCTTTTTGCCAGCAGTATCATGTGGTTGGTTGGTTGGTTGGCTGTTGTTGTTCGAGATGGAGTAAAAGAATCTCTTTAAAAAAAAACAGTACTGAGTATTCTTTATTATTATTATTATTATTATTATTATTTATGCATTTTCATGTTCACACTAGAGAGATATGACACTCGTTGGCGCTCAAGCGACAGTAGTTCTCCTTCAATCTCTAACACTTTTCTCTAACACACTTCTCAATATTCCAGCGTGTTATTGTCGTCTCGATATTTTGAATTCGTCCTGAGATATTTTGTTTTCCCAACTTACATTTTCTTCTTCTCCTCCTCCTCCTCCTCCTTCTTCTTCTTCTTCTTCTTCTTCTTCTTCTTATTATTATTATTATTATTATTATTATTATTATTATTATTATTATTTTGATTTCTGGCGTTTACACATTTGGGACCTAAGGTTAGAAATGGCATCATGACACTTTTATTATTATTATTATTATTATTATTATTATAATTGATTTATTAAGCGTAGCATATCTGAATATAGTTTCGTATCCAAACGTAAACAAAGAGAATATTTTTTACAATGAATTTTAATTAATCCTACTGAGCTGTATCAATTTAAACGTTATTTTTTTTAGCTGATAGGCGTAAAAAAGTTCGAGAATTTTATAACAGGAGAAGCTTAACTTGAAAAGCGAGAAATTAGTATCGTATGTTCTCTCGTGACCAAGCTGAAAGAGTCGCCGGGCTAAACGGTACTCCCTCTTCCGAAGGACGTTGGTTTGATTACTGCCAAAGGACGCATTTTTTTTTTTTTTTTTTTTTAAATAAGATTCCTCGAATATTCAGGCCGGTAAGTGAAAATAAACAAATATACATTTTAACAAATAAACGGAGCGTTTATTCAAATACGAGTAACCACTAAAATATAACGTTTAAAGTGATATAAATCTGTCGGATTAATAAAAATCCATTCTAAAAATTCTCTTTGTTTAGGTTTGGGCACGAAACTATATATATATATATATATATATATATATATATATATATATATATATATATATATATATATATATATATATATATATATATATATATATATATATATATATATATATATATATATATATATATATATATATATATATATATATATATGGCAACCTACGTTATTTTGAGGTTTAATTTTTCAACTACTATATTACGTGGATTAATTCAGTTCATCAACGTGCATCACAAAATATGAGAGTCATGTTCCTCAATCACATCACTATAATCCACTTGACTAAGCCACGTCGTAATATATATATATATATATATATATATATATATATATATATATATATATATATATATATATATATATGGGATTGAAAATTAACTTTTCATTTTAAAAATACTTTTAAAGTAATTTTTTATTTATTTATTTTAAATAATTTATTTATTAACTATAATTTTTGCAAAAAAAAATGGATATGGGAGGAAAGCGTTGAGCACAAGTTTTTATTTATTAGGTTGGTGCAAAAATAATGACATAATAATGTCGTTTTTGACGTTAAAAATACGTCAAAGACGACATTATTACGTCATTATTTTTGCACCAACCTAATAAATATTCGATATATTACCAGATTTTGTTACCAGCTTCTCGAGCCGTTCAGTAATCACGTCAATTGATTTCACTAGTATCCCTTGTGGCATGGAAGTCATGACTTCTTGTATTCGCTCTTTAGTTCTTCCAAAGTTTGATTTGTTATAGCAGACTTGCTCCTTTAATCAGACTCCTGGCTGGGCACTCCTACATAAGATAGGGAGTTGCTTTTCAATCACCCTGTACACACACACACACACACACACACACACATATATATATATATATATATATATATATATATATATATATATATATATATATATAAAGTGCAACAATTTGAGGCGACAGTCTGTTTCATACTATATACTCGTCAGGCCTGACGATTGCATATCGCATAAACAGACTGTCGCCTCAAATTTTTGTTCACTTTTATATTTACACACGCTCTATCTCTGATATTGAGCACTTTATCCCATAAATATAGCACACCTTAAGACTATATTTCTTTATATATATATATATATATATATATATATATATGCCTCGTGTAACAGCAGAATTATCAAAATTATATAACAGCGTAATTATCCATCTCAGAAAATGTTTGATATCTAACAGTTCACTGAACTAATTGAGTTACTTTTCTTTCGAATAAGACGTTTAGCCATCTTGACAATATTTTTCGTAAGAAACACTGAGTTATTCATCTAAAAAGAGAGCCGGTTAAAATTGTTTTGTGTCAGACCCACTGTCTTCCCAACTTGAGCTGTGGTGAGAGAGAAAATTTCATTCAGGCCTTAAGTAATGGTACCAACATTCCTACCTCTGGCTTCCATCTTCAAAGTGCATTGAAGAACCATCAAGTGAACGCTGAATAAGTTTATAAAAGATAGAACAGTAGAGAGGAAAACTGAACCAGGAGTTCACAACAGAAAGGGGGATCATTATTTCAAGTTAGATCTAAAGAGATCAATTAGAAAAGATCCAACTCAATTCATAAGACATTTGGCACATGAGAGAGGAGTTTCAGTTATGACAGTCCAAAGAGCTGTGAAAAAAAACTTGAAAATGAAATCGTGTGTGAAACCTGTGAGGCACGTGTTGCTCCAGGACAAAAGGTTACGTTAGAGAGGGCGAAGATCACCTTGAATAAGTTGGGAAGTGATCCTGGAATGATATATATGTATTTGAACTTTATTTCAATACTTCATGAGCTTCTGATCCTTAGCTATGATTAATTAATGATGAACATGTCATTTTCGTTTGTGATCGAATTCATCACGATTGTTCGATTAAGCTTGGAGAGTAATTATACATTATTATTGCTCAAAGTAGAATCGAATAGTGTTATAAAAACCCCGGAAAAGTCCATTAAAATATCTTTAATAATTTCTAAGATACAAAGGTTTAATGCTTATTCTAACAATTGGACAATTTTGTTGTTACACGATTTGGACAGTATAATAATTCAAACATGTATATATGCGATATGAATCCTGGCCTCCTTTCAAGGACAACAATGTAAAAACATTTTTCACTTATTACACTCTGGGCCGTAGTTATGAGAGCACACTCGCTTACTTTCTTCTATTTCAACCATTTTGGCATGTCAGAGACAAACCGTATTTGTCAAATTAGTATATATATATATATATATATATATATATATATATATAATTTGAAAATTACAACATAAACATGTTATAAAATCGTCACAACAATACCCATTTTGTTTTAAAAGTTTCAAATCAACCAAACACCCCTCGATAGAAGAAACGCTGTTACTGTCATTGTAACTTATGTGACATTGTTTCCCCCTATCGAGGGGTACTTGGTTGATTTGAACCTTTTAAAACCCTTTATTCTACATTCAACTACATCACTTGATAAGACACCAGAAGTGTTGAAACAAAATGTGTATTTTTGTAGTGATTTTATAATATGTTTATGTTATAATTTTTAAATAAATTATATTTTCTCTACTCTGTATTGAGCATTCTTTTAAGAATAATATTTTTTGGTTATTGAAATTTATTCCGTATACACCAATCCTATACTTGGATATATATATATATATATATATATATATATATATATATATATATATATATATATATATATATATATAACAGACTAGACGATGTCATCTTCCGCTTTGAATTTAGACACTAACCTTTTACCCTGACTTGACCTCTTTGAATGTAACTAAAAGATATTTATACAAATTATTAACCTTTACGCCCCCTTTTTTTAAAAAAAATAATTGCTCTAGCCGTTACCATAGTAATTTTAATTTTATTAATGAATATGCTTATAAAACGCGTAAATTTCGAGAATTAGTTATTCCGAAAAAATTTCGCTTGAAGATGGAACAGAGCTTGGTACTTTAATTCAATTTAATTCAAAGAATTATATTGAAGTTTTCGGCTCTTGTTTTGAAACATGAGAACTCTTATGTAGCGATGGAATCATATTTTTAAATAAATAATTATATATATATATATATATATACGAAATGACGACTATAAAATGATCACCTTTACTCGAGACGCCCAAGAAGGAAGTGTAGTGTATCCTCGTGATTGCTGATTCTTTTATATGAACGACAAAGACAAAAATAAACGGATATTTTCCCATCTTGAGATCGCGGCCCGTATCTTCTTCACTGAATAAACAACACTGCATCATGTACCAAATTTTGCTGAGTGGGGAATCAGTGTTGTCCTCTTAATAGAGGTGTGGCGAACTTGTGGTTCTTATTCTTCCAATTGCCATATCGAACATCTACACCAGTCATGAGCAAACTGTGACCCGCGGACCACAATCGAGTCTTTTGGCTTTCTGAATGCCATGCATAATTTACTCAGGAAAATAACGTTTATCAAAAATGTTATTCCTTTCATTCCGTTCTCACTTGTTCACTCACATTTTCTCGTACTTAACCACGTATAGAAAGAATAATTAAGTGAAATGTTTATCGAATTTTTAACTTTTCGTCGAAGGTAACATTTTTATCATTTTAAACCATTGGCGATTTTCCCTGAGGAATACGTGTAAACATATATTGCTTCAGAAAAAGGAAAATCCATAATAATGTTTTTTTTGTCTAAAGAATAAATATACTTTTTATTTTAAAAATATTTTTGTGCTGTCACATGATTAATTTAGAAACAAATTACAATCAGAAGTATCTTAATCACCAAAAATATTTTAATTATACAAAGAATCTTTCCCCACCCCCCCAAAAAAGAAGGGGACTTCCCCATTTCCAAGACAGACGCTTACGCATATCGTCTTCTGCAGTGAAAATAGTTAAGGTACCTTCAATGAAAAATTACCTTGAAAATATATTTTTTAAGTGATAAAATCCAAGAAGAATCAATATTATTGGTCCTGTCCGGCAGTTTCAATCGATTTGCCACCATCGTAAGATTGACTCTTTGTTGCTCTGGTATAACAGGAAGAAGTTATTTCTGTGGACTATAGTACTGGTAAAACCAACACAAAACTTGCCAAATGATCAAAAATAATAAAAACCCAAACCAAACCCAAACCAATAAATCAAAACCCAAAAGAAAGTGAGAAAGGAAACATAAATTGAGAAGAAAATAAAAATAAAATAACAATACCTACCTAAGCAGTAAAAAGATAGTTCTCTATGTCTAAATAAGCAAGACAGAGCATTTACGCTACACAGCTACTCAAAAGAGTTTAAACTGCTACTGGAGTTAGAACACAAATAAATAGTGGATGAACATATGTTTATATATATATATATATATATATATAGTTGCGTTGATATGAGTTTATTATCCTGGGTTTCACGCCCTTTGCAATCGTCAAACAAACTGATTAATTTTGAAATTTTGGATTTATTTATGGTTGCGTATATCGGTGTTCTATGGTAGTAGGAGGGAAATTGTCATGGAACGCCAATTGGTGTTCACGGATAGCATCTCACACAAAACATAAACAGGATCACAAATTCCATCAACGCAACTAAATATATAGCTCTATCGCTGATATTAGGCGCTTTCAATATATATTTCCGCGCATATAATATATAAATAATATATATATATATATATATAAAATATATATATATATATATATATATATATATATATACATATATGTGTGTGTGTGTGTGTGTGTGTGTGTGTGTGTGTGTGTGTGTGTTGTATATCCGAAACAAAAAAGTGCAATCAAGAACCTGCAGAAAAACGGACATTCATGCCTCATGGTTACTATTAGGAGGTGACGCTCCAGCTTGATTAACAGTGCAAGAGTGGGCAGATTAATTTAGAAGGGGAAGTGAGAGTCTTGAAGATAACCGGAGGTCTGGACATCCTGCAACTATCCCCACCGTGGAAAACACTGATCATGTTCCCCATATTGTGATGGATGGCAGGCAATTGACTATAAATCAAATGGCCAATGCTATTACCATATCTTGAGAATATTTCTGCACAATTTACTTGGCATGACAAAAGTATATGCTCAGTGGGTACAGCGTCTTCTGATATCTGATAAAATGCGCATCAGGTTGATCACAATTTGAAGCAAATCCAGCTGGTTACCTCGATCGTTCCATAACCCAGCCAGAAACAAAGAGACAATCCATGCAGTGGTAACATCCCTCTTCACTTGCTTCCAAAAAGGCCAAGGTCGTTTCATCTGCAGGGAGGTTGATAGCCTCAGTTTTTTTTTCGGGGGTGGGGAATACAAAAGGCATTCTGTTTATAGTGGTTTTGAACTGGTTGATCACCCTCCCTATTTTCCTCTTTTGACTCATCTGTCCCTCAACTTGAAAAACACTTGGTTGTATTGCAGTGATGATGATGTGATATCTGCTTTTAATGACTATTTTGACCAAAAGGATGAACTGTCTTCTTTGAACAATCAGATATCAGTTTACTTGTAAAGAAACAATGCAGTTATTAATAAGAAGGGTTGAAATTAAAACATGAAAATTTCGTATCACTACTTAATAATCAGACTATGAACTTTTCAGTACCCCCTCGTATATGCATGGGTGGGTGTGTATGTATGTACACATATGTACATATACATAAAAAACACAATCTAGTTTTGATGAACTGATTTAAGATCAACAAACACCAAACGGTTCTCATATATATATATATATATATATATATATATATATATATATATATATGATAAAATTATGGTTTTTTAAGGTATACTATATTTATAAGTTAAAGTGCTCAATATCAGGGATATAACGTATGTAAATATTTAATTAGACATGGAGGTCAATATCCAGCAGAGACGGTCTCTTTCATGGTTAAAAGCAATCGTCAGACCATGTCATTGCGTTTACGCATGAAACAAACTACCGCCGCTGGGTGTTGACGTCCCTTATATATATATATATATATATATATATATATATATATATATATATATATATATATATATATATATATATAAACAATATATATATATATATATATATATATATATATATATGAAACAACAAACAACAGACTCAAAACTCTCTGTGGTTTGTCCATGGATGCGATAATGTAATTTGGCTTATAGTACCCTTATCCCAACACATATTTCCTTACATATTTGTCTTTCTTTCATCCTAACCTGAATAAGCCAGAGAGAGTAGATGCTGTCGGTGAAACGCGTCGTTTATGCTTTTTCCACTTTGTCTCATTATCTTCATAGATATATATATATATATATATATATATATATATATATATATATATATATATATAGAAAGAGAGAGACATATGTATGTAATGCGACAAGTGGAAAAGCTATAAGCGTATGTTTGTACACACACACACACATATATATATAATTATGTTGTTTAACATATTCTATATTTATGCGAGAAGGGTGTTCCATATCAAGGATACAGCGTTGTGGATATAAACAGCAAGCACCAGACTGTGTCTAACACATGCCAGTCACCATGCAGTGTTGATTTCTGTGTTCCTTTGTTGATATATATATATATATATATATATATATATATATATATATATATATATATATATATATATATATATAGGGGGTATTTGTTGATATTTACTAAGCAACTTGGTACGGCACACAAACATATTTGTTATTCTTATTGGCGTAAGCATTCTACATTTTTGTTGAATTTGTTATTTCAGAAGATATATTTTCATACTTCTTTTTTGTTATTTTAGATTTAAGTTACGCCTGTTTGTATATTGTCCTACGCATGCGCACTAAAGCGAATAAATACACCCCACAAATACACATACTTCCAAACATATACCACACTATGCCACACCCCGCTAAGCTATCTATAACCGGAGCCATTTTCTCTAACTTTGATGAGTATGTGTGATTACGGTTGCGCAATGTTGTCTTACCGACTTCCGCTCTAGCTTCACATCTTTTTCTTCTATGTGCTGTGTCCATTCAGGACTTGGGTGATCATGGCTCTCCACGATCTCCTGTACTTTTTAGTTTTAATTTTTTTTTTTTTTTTTGCTATCACTCCTAAACCCAGTTCTGCCATCCATTTGACCAAGCTCGCTAGGTAAGTCATGCGTTGTCTTCCCCTGTTCCTATTGCCGTCAATCTGTCCTGTAAGTATCAAATTTTCCAAGCCTTCTTTCCTCATTATGTACCCTAAAACTTTCAACTGTCTCTTTCTGATTATAAGTCCAAGTGTCCTTTTAGTTTCTCTAAAACTGTGCCGTTGCTCACATGTTCGGTCCATGTTATTCTCAACATCTTTCTGTAGAACTATATTTCAGTTGCTTCTGCAGAAATTATCCGGCATTTAATTCCACATAGGACTGCTATTACGTAACAGTTTTGTACGTTTTTCTTTGTTTCTAACGAAATTTTCCTGTTTCTTAATACTTTAATATCTTCACATTTGTTGCTTATATACTAACCCTCTATTCACCAAATAAAATATTTCGACAGAAATCGTTCATTATGTTCGTTGTTTTGATAACTCGATTTATATCATCTTTATAGTCAACAGAGACATAAAAATACTTAGGTTTTGCCAGTTTCATTGTATGGAGTAACTGCGTATTTACCAGAAATATCAATGTTTGGAATCGATTCTATGTAAGAAGCTAAAATAAAAGCTACGTAGACCCTTTTCCATTGATGTTTTGGCTTAACAAAATCTTCCTACCCCTAATACTACTGGTCATTTGGCGTTATGACACGCTAAGTTAAGCTTAGTACATATCGAAAGTTTAATGATATTTTTCAACGCAGACAGGACCCGATGGAAAGATTAAAGTAAAACAATCTTCCTTCAACCTTCCCATTTCTAGCTAAGTAATTATTTGTAAATCAATGATTATATGTTTCCTGATAAGTAAAAGATGAATCTATTTGTTGAAATAGATATTTATATATATATCTTTTTTTTAAAAATGGAAACAGTTATTAGCACGAAAAACAGAAACCAGCAAACCGTACTTTATTTCAGCATGGAATATTAAGAAAATGGCTAAGAATTTAGTATTATTGAAATGGAGGGCTTCAGTTTCTTCTTCAATTTTCAGTGTCCTTCAGGGCGTAGACGATCATGTCTCTCCACAATTTCATGTCCACTGTAACTCTTAATATTTTTTTTGTTATCTCTCCGCCATGAT